TCGAGTCGTTCCTGCAGGGCCCATCGTACACGTGTGCGAAAGATAAAACAGTCATGCACGATGAGCATAAAGAGGCAGGTAAAGCCCAAACACAAGAGGACAAAGGCACGAGCGTGTCGGCTGTCTACTCCGACATATACGGCTTTATCAGGCCCTGGTATCGGAGGTAAAGGACCGAGACGTGGCATTGAGGCAAGCGCTGTGAAAAAAGCAGCCCCGAAACGGAAGTGCACTGAGGAGAACGCAGGTGATAAAGAAGTCTATCAGCGCTCTTGTGAAAACAAGCAGATACAGAATGGAAGAGGCGTTTTTGTGCCTGAAGATGTTTGGTCTGGAGATAAAGGGTAGAACGGACATCACTATCTCAGAATTGTACACAATTTTACTCTCGCCCCAAATGTTTACTGGCTGGAATTTACTCATATACTGTAGCTTTCTACTAAAGTAAACTCAACTAAAGCAAGCATATATTGTAGCCAGTCTATATTTAGCATTGTACAAATCATCAAATATTTGCCACGAGTATTGGGAAGGATGGGCATCATTCACCAAATGTTTTCCTAGGACTGAACTGAACTCAAAATTCCCACCAGATTTATAAAAAGATTCGGTGACACTTATTTCTTTCTATGCCAGTCACCTGTAAAATGACCAAGCACGGGTGATTTATATTTACTCATGCCCATAACACTTTGTTGTTACAATTTAAGCCCTCAAAGAGCTGAAAATCTCAAAATGACGACTAAGCACTGAACGATGTTCAAACTATTCCAGTAACGCAGCTCAGCCACTGCACCACTTCAGCTCCCATAGACACACACTGACTCTTCCTCCTTGTATACGGTGCCATTACTTTTGTCCTTGCCGTATGGCTAGTCATTTTTGTTTTTACATGCTTGCTTGCTTTCAGATCAAGCAAATGAAACGTTTCGCAAATGTTCCATTATTTTTGTGTGTGTAATTGGATGACAAAATAAGAGACTTGAACTGAACGTGCATGATCCGTGAATAAAATCGCGGTAGATCATCGCACAGTTGTACGATTTGAAGCAGATCGATCAAGGTTCACAGTGGTCAATCTCCCATTGTGTAAATTTACACAAACTCAGGAACGCTCGTAGAATACGAACAGAACTAACTGCATTTTCACGAGTACGACATTTATTGCGTAAACGTTTCTGAAAACAATTTACGATAAAACATTTGCTTGCATTCAGCTAGCTAGGCTCAACGTTTGGCTTAGACGAACAAATCGGAACTATATTGTCATCCAAACCACTAGCATATAAATCCACTTCTAAATTTGGGCCGAGCTTCAAAATGGCCGCCATTAGTATACGTAGCTTTGTTGCTTTTGTATATTATTATACGTAACAGTGTGTCATACAGCGAAAGAAACCATATCGGCAAATCGGGTTTGCGATGCTCGACAAATCAACAAAGCCACAGATGTTTGAGATGAGTGCGGTGTATGATCATATGATGCAGACTGGAGGCTTACTTATTAGCTCCGTTAGCCTCATGGCTGTAGTGAACACTAAGGATGCAAACATGTCTTGACTGATCGAATACACTTTGGAAAAGGAAAAAAAAAAAATCGAATGAATTAACCTTCTGGCAGAGGTAATGGTAAGCTGTACAGTATGTTTAGGACATTCATGCTCATAGACTTCATATATAAGCTGTACATGGACACGTAGTAGCATGTGGCTACGTTTAGTAAGTGTGTTTTCTAGTGGCGAGCTGATGTGGTGTGTGTGTACATTGTGGCTGACTTGCTAAACAGAAGCTGAGAAGGTGAATGTGAGAATGTGCACACACGGGGAGAGACGGCACCAGTGGTTGCTCGGAGGGTAAATATTTACCTGGCACACCTTGAGCAGATGTTAAGGGTGACTTTGGCCTGCGGTTCGGGGCAGTAGGAGCTGCGCCCTTGGCTGAACTTACTGCCAGAAGGAATCAGGCCAATGACCCCCTCCATCCTCAGGTCATCCAGGTCCTCTGAAGAGAGACGCAGAGAAACAGAGTGAGACAGAGGCACAGACAAAGCGACGGCTTTAGCTTGGCTAAAATCCGAAGGAGTCCAAAGCAGACAGAGACGGAAAGGAAAATAAGAGGTCAATCACCTCACCTCAGGAGAGAAGATACCAGTGTTGTAAGTATTAGCGAGTGTGGACAGATGTGTGGAAAGTGTAGAACGTGTGTAAACGTCTGCATAAATTGGTACGTTTTTCTACACAGATATAGCTTTATTAGCCGGAATGCCCCAGGGAAGCTCTTGCTATGAGTTCAGGAAGATTATAAACATCTGTGATTGATCAATGTCTGATGGAAGAGTGCAATAGATAAGAGACGACAGATGTGTGTTTGCGCTATATGGACAGGAAAGACATGTGATTCACAGATCACACATTTTATTCCAGTGGTGTACACAATTAACAATGTGGTCAGGAAGATCTAGATTGGAGACAGCAACGATATCCAGACCACAGTGGGATGATCAGATGATGCTAAATCGCACTAGATGTGAATGTGCGTGTGAATTTTCAAACTATTTTATTAAGCCTTCGTATTATTTACCATGTTATTTTAGTGGGCTTGTGTTCTAGCTAACCGGTTCATGCCGGTTTTGTTTTCCGAGATTATTCATGCCTGCCTAAATAAGATGCACTTTAGCTTTGTGATATCCCCTTGCAGACTTGTGGGCATTTCGATGAAATAACATTTGAATATCATTTGGGAGGAAACACTCGCTAGCTAAGCTAAGGCCTTTTTCTTTTTTTCTGAGCTAAAACAATATCAACTACAATCGATCAATTGCTTAAACTCATTTCTGTTTACTTTCCATATTTCCAAGCTTGCTAACTAGCTTCAACTTTAGATTGCTAACTAGCTGTTAGTTAGACGGCTAGCTTATGCTAGCTCTGCTGGTTGCAGCTAGATATAGCTATCAATTAGATACATTTTCATTTGCAGTAGCTCTTCACGGTTAGCTAGTTTCAAATCACTGACCCTGTAAAAGTAAATAAATTAATTAATTAATTAATTAATTAATACATATATACATTTTTATATCTAAGCCAAAAATGCTAGTTTGTGAGGCGAACAGAAACATATAGATCGTATACAATGTGCTAGAAGAGAGCATAGAATCTTTTTCAAAAGTTTCTGACTGAAAGATCCTCTACTGTACTTTCCTCTAAAGGAACAAACTAAAGAAAGATATGTAATTTTTTATTTTTTTTTGCAAATTCACAACTACTTCAACAAGAGAAGTCTAACATGGTATTTCCAGCACAGTTCTGTGATAATATTGCACAATACACACTGAAGGTGTGCAGTGGTATCTGGCACCAAGATGTTAGCGGCAGATCCTTGAAGTCCTGTGAGTTGCGAGGCGGGGCCTCCATGGATCGGACTTCTTTGTCTAGCGGATCCCACAGAAGCTCGATCGGATTGAGATCTGGTGAATTTGGAGGTAAGCGAACACCTTGTACTCCTCAAACCGTTCCTGAACAATTTTTGCAGTGTTGAAACACGCCACCACCGTGCCACACTGAATGGTTTGAGGAACATGACAAAGAGTTCAAGGTGTTGGCTCAGCCTCCAAATTCACCAGATCTCAATAAGACCGAGCTTCTGTGGGATCCACTGGACAAATAAGTCTGATCCATGGAGGTCCGACCTCCTTTGCGACTTACAGAACTTAAAGGATCTGCTGCTATCGTCTTGGTGCCAGATACCACAGCACACCTTCAGAGGTCTTGTGGAGTCCATGCCTCGACGAGTCAGAGCTATTTTGGCGACACAAGGTGGACCTGCACAATATTAAGCATGTGGTTTTAATGTTATGGCTGCTCGGTGTATAAGGCAATTAATACACCATAAATTTCCGGAAATCAGGCCAGACTACAAAAAGCCCGTTCCATGTTTCCGCTTGACATGGGACGTGTTTTTATAGTGTGTCACTGTCATCTGTTCTGCGAACTGTCAACAGGTGCTGAGTGCTGAGTTTACAGAGCAGAGCTTTGGCAGCAATCATACACGCGGGAACAGGACAGAAGGGGGCCTCCTGCTTCTCTTCACTGTGCAGCTGCTCTCGTCTAACGCCACGATCGCACACGCACAATCCCGTGTTGGACCCAGAAGTTCAGCCAGATCACTCGATCGCGTAGAGCAGAATGCGGGTTTCTGTTTGGAGGCTGACGAGAACAGTTCTGGTAGCCTTATGAGAATTTGACGTGAGCTAAAGTAAACAGCAGAGGAAGAAGCTGTTCCGGGAAGTTCGACTCATACTGTGAATATTTCGAATGTCTGTGATTGTTTTGAAGTACGATGGAAGCGTGCTTTGCATAAGAGGTGACAGATGTGTGAGAGTTTTTGTTTTTCGTCTACCACACACACACACACACACACACACACACACACGAACACCTGCAGACCTCTCCTAATGCATGTAGCATTAAGGTTAAGAATATGACAATACAGCCAGGACAATCATTGTACTTCCAGTACCAAGAGAGCATTGAGGTCATGCTGGTGCGTTTTTTTTTTGTTTTCACAGACAATTGCTAGTTAACTTCTGGATTTAAAAGGACACTTAACATCTTTAAATGATGTAGCATTTATATGCATTTAAAGCCATTTTATTCTGCCATATAGGGAATTATACTCGCTATTTACTGGCAGCTGTCAAGACAAAAATGTATTCATACTCAGTAACCGCTTAATCCCAGTCATTGGCGCCTATCCCAAGTACACTGGGTGCATCACAGGGTATCACACATATACACACACACATACACACTCATTCACACACGCTAGAAACCAGAGAACCTGGAGAAAACCCAGGCAAAACGTCCTGGTTGCCTCTGCGTTGGTCTTGACCATAGACTGATTTTCCAACTAGATATTGTGACAAATATCAAGACAGAAGTTGTTGTGGGATTCGAAATCAAGGTTTTGCAATGGCCATAATGTTTAGACTGGAACCAGCAGGAGGCGTGGTGGCTTAGTGTTTAGCACATTTGCCTCACAGCTAAGGGGTTGAGGGTTCAAATCCCACCTGTGTGCACAGAGCTTGCATGTTCTCCCCATGCTTTGGGGGTTTCCTCTGGGTACTCCAGTTACCAGTCCAAAGACATGGGTGATTGGCATTTCCAAATGGTCTTTAGTGTGTGATTGTGCCTTGTGTTGGGTTGGCACCCCATGCAGGGTGTTCCCTGCCTTGTGCTCTGAGTTCCCTGGGATAGGCTGTATAGGATAAGCAGTATGAAAACAAATGGTTTCCATCCATCCTTCCATCCTCTACCGCTTTCTCCTTGTTCAGGGTCGCGGGGGAACCTGGAGACCTGGACAGGGTGCCAGTCCATCGCAGGGTATGGACAGGAATCGGACCCCGGACCCTGGAGGTGTGAGGCGAACGTGCTAACCACTAACCACAGTGCGCCCAAGAAATGGTTTAATGATACTTTATTGATCACATATATACATACACATTCAATTCTTTTTTCTTCAAATACCCCAGCATGTCAGGAAGCTGGGGTCAGAGCAGGCTCAGCCATGATACAGCGCCCCTGGAGCAGAGAGGGTTAAGGGCCTTGCTCAAAAGCCCAACAGTGGCAGCTTGGCAGCGCCCAACCTTTCGATCAGTAACCCAGAGCCTTAACCGCCAAGCCACCACTGCTCTCTACAAATTGTGGGATTGCCTTGTAAACATAAACCTTGCATAAGTTTGGTAAAACTACTGCGTTAAAATAAAAGTATACAATGTCTCCTTGTGTTCACAATCCAAATATCACGCATCACAGTATATATTCTACAGTTATGACACTTTTTATTTGGCCATTAAGGATTTAACCATAAAAAACTACATCCCTAATTACCTGTCTACAACCTCATAAATGTTCCCTGGGGCACTGATATTACCCAAAACCTACTGCTTCTCATGCTGCTATTACGTTACACACAGACTGTGAGGGCAAACGGGGACGAACACTTTCTAGCAGGAGAAAAGCGTAACAAACAGCATGGATTATATGAAACATCCATCCGGTGTGAAATTCGTCTCTGCCCTCCCTTCATTCGCAGAGGCGTCTGATACGAAATAGCTTCAATGTCAATTAGGAATTTCGCAGTGTGTAAATCTGCACGTCCGATCGGTGCACGCCGACAGTGATCCGTCGGAGCACGCTGTCAGGCTCGTGAATTTTCCCACAGGATGGACAGAGACTGGGTGAGACAGGCTCTAAAGAAGCCTGGCTCATGAAACACCAGTAAGTGTGGTGATATTCGATGTCTCATTTATCATCACGGTCCTCATCGCAGTGCCAGAGATAACATACACACTCACACACGCAAAGCGAGAACTCTACACCACCGACCTTTTGTGGGAAAATCTCGCACTCACTCTGTCTCTTCTGGCTCAAAGACAAAAACTAAAGTCATTAAGTACAGTCAGCACTGTTCGGCTTTGTTTATTTCTTCATTTCTTTTCACTCCAGATTATTACCATCCCCACGACTAATACACGCCGAATTCACCGCTAATCATCATCAAGAACTAGTAATAACCATGAACTCCATCACTAATTCTGTATTTCCGATTCATCTTTGCGTTATTTCCCAATGTCCCGAACAATACTGCACTTCGTGTTTAGTAAACGTCACGTTTTAAGCCATGCATAAACAACACGCAGAACTCGACTCAATTTCTGGACCTTGATGTGACCCTGTTTGGCTCAACCCCAGTAATCATCTTCTGCTAACAATGCTACTTCCATATAACGCCTACAAACATTCGACTACTTATTCTTGAGCAGTCCTTCCAGGACAACGCACATTCAGCCAAAGCCATCTCTAATTCATATGCGTCGAACATGAGTACGACTAATTTTACACCAAACATCACTGCAAAACAATTTCGTGCCGTTGCGATTTCGCCAATTCCGGTACTTTCCTATTCTGTACGGACTCAGATATCGGCCAAACACATATGTGTATGTGTTTTATTGATGTGATTAACTGATCGGAAGGTCGGGGGTTCAAGCCTCAGCACTGCCAAGCTGCCACTGTTGGGCCCTTGAGCAAGGCCCTTATCCCTCTCTGCTCCAGGGGGCGCTGTATCATATCTGACCCTGCGCTCTGACCCCAAGCTCCTAACATGCTGGAATATGCAAAGAAAAAGCATTTCACTGTACTGTAATGTATACATGACTAATAAAGACTCATTATCATTATTATCAATCCATCAACAAGCAGCACTGCATTGGATCCTCCTTGTCACACTACCTAGTAGCTATGCTAGTTAGCTAGCTAGCTCCGCTGTCGGGCACCGAGTTTATCAAAAGTTTATCACCCTCCCCGTAATGACTTTTTAAAGAGAATTTGAATTCTCCTCCAGATGAACCATCCTGGAATTGTTCACATAAAGAGCTCATAGGCTTTGAGGCACTCCAGAAGAGTTAGACTGGATGAGATCTTTGAGTTTTCTGCTAGTTTCAGTGGAATCAGCAGCCCATAAGGATCATAGTCAATTTTCTCGGCTTAGCGGAGTACCGTTTATTCCCTGGGAGTAAGGTGAGTCATTTTAGCCATGTTTCCACCGTCGTGATGTTGTGTAGAGAACCCAGAAGCCTGAAAAATGAAGTGACTGAAACGGTAGGATAACACGGCTGCCCACATCGTGTAGGCTGTATTATAAAGGCAGTGGGTTGCTGTTGTCTAGGTGACACACTATCGGCCATCAAAAACAAACGAAACCTGTGTTTGAGAAATGGATACACCCAAAAAAAAGAGTCTATGTTGTCAGATCGGTTATCGGGACGGTGTGATAATGCCCTGCGGGACTGAATGATATCTCATGCAGCTTCCTTTCTTCTCCAAAGAGAAAGAGAAAAGGTCTGTTTGTTTGCCTGCGCTGTCCGTATCTCTGCTTGATTCCCAGCACATTCCTCACGACAGGAAAACTGCTACCTGCAAAACAACTGCGCCGTGATAAGCGAGTACGGCCCCTATCTGTGTGGAACAGTGTGTGTGTGCGCGTCAGTCCAAGTGTGGTGTGTGTTGTCACTGGGTGTATTGAGCAAAAACACACAGCAGAGCTTCCAAACCGAGGTGGAAACTATTCGAGCCATGCTGTCCTAACAAAGCCCAGAGCGGCGGGGATGAATCCGGTCTGTAACGTCTCCCACACACTCCGGCCCGGGTGCAAAACTTTCCGAACGATCGTCAGAGAGAAGGCGGAGACGGGCGAAAGACGTGCGAGACCGAACAGACGTCTGATGTATGTATGGACGGATAAATAAACAAACGAATGATGAATGTCCTACCCAGATCAGCTCCATAAGGCATTCATTACGGTACGTAACGTAGGAACACGGTGTGCTTCTGATCTCCATCAGGGATCGGTTCACGGTAATCCTCCCAAACTGACAGCTCTTACCTCGACCTCGTTCCTCTAGACGACACTTAGACCTGACACGCTCTCTCGCTCATTCGCTCGCGCTCCGACACACTCAGCATTTGGGTTTCATTAAACGGGGGAAGAAGAAGAAAAAAGAAAAAAAAAACGCAGCTCTGCGGTTAGCCCTCATACACGGCGCTTTGATGTCAAGTGGGAAAAGACGGCATTTTGTTTGGCTTTGTAATAAAAACAATATTTCTATAATTAGGCCTCGGATTTGGGGCGCAGGGTCCCTGCGAAAGTATGCGTCTCGTGCTCCAAAGCCTCACGCCTGCACCATGTGGGCTGTAAAAAAAAAAAAAAAGAAAGAAAGTAAGAAAGAAAGAATGATTGAGATCAGATGCTTCGACATGACATGAAAGATGGCAGCGTCAGGACTTGGGTACGACAAGAGCTAGACGTCGCGGTGGCACAGGCAATTATCGCACTTCAATGAGCAGACGCAATCAAAGGCTTGACAGAGCAAAAACGGAGCGATTTTGATATTCCACACCATACGTCATGAATATACGCTACACAGTGCTTTTATCCGTCTTGTCATACTTCATTTATATTATGTATATGATATATATATATATAATTTTATTTTTTTTAAACAACACATAGTCACTCCTCTCTTCTTTTTCCCTCTCTTCCTCACTTACAAATACAATATTGCCATCTTGTGGATATCATACTATCGACCGAGACAAATCGACAAATCCAGTACAGCTATTATGTTTAAAAAAATAATAAAATTTAACCGGCAAAATGACCTATTAAAACATCAAAGAGATTTATTAAGACGGAAATTCCTTCGTCGTGACATCAAGCCAATATGATCGGCCTTTAGACAATAAATACGTCGTGCGGCACACTGATTACGCAATCACCGCCTCGTAATGCCAATAACTCATTCACCGACTCGTTCATTTAGTTGTCAATTACATCATTTCACATCATTTCAGTCTCTAACCCTCGGGTGGTGACTTTATGGCGTAATGCTCTATAATTACCGGCATGCAAACATCTCTTCTCATATGACTAAGTGAGGGCTTGGCCTCACGGAGTCAAATTTGTCAAGGAAACGAATGTGCTAACAAATTCCAGCAGAGATTTGTTTTGTTTTGTTCTGGCAGGGTTACTTTGACAAGTACAGGGAATTTTCCCTACCAGAAAATTAAATAAATAAATAAATAAATACATAATAGAAATCTATCTTTGTATTGATGATCTTTTTGCTAGTTTTAATAATCTGCGTTCCAAATTCGCTCTTAAAGCGCTCCTATTAGGGTTTTGAACCGTGCCTAATTTTGTTTAAAAGGTCTCAAACAATAGATTTACGTGCATCCGCGGTCTAAAAACACTTTAACGTGCTCATAGTTTAAACTGCAGCATTACCATCCCCCCCCCACCCCCCAGTGTCACAAACGACTCGTTAAATGATCCGTTCTAAAGGATTCGTTCTAAACTCCGCCTTTCAGAGAGCATACTCTGCTCTGATTGCTCAGACGTCCCGGTCTGTCGTGATTGGTCTACCGCTGTCCGCGATGAAGACCAGAGGCGGGGTTTTTTGTTACAAACCTACGTACAGGAAGTAAAGTCTGGAATCACTAACGACTCGATTCAGCC